GGTGAGTAATGCTATTAGAGAATTTTCTCTACTAATTTAATGCATGTGAATGGAAGGATACTTTTGTTGTTTTTTTGTCTAAGGTGGAGCAAAAAGGCCAAATTCAGACCAATTAGTCTTTGTTAGACAATTTATATGGTTATTGCAAAGAAATTGGTCAATCATTAGAGGAAGGTGTTTTCCTTTCTCATCTCAGAAGAATAAGGATGCTATGTCCCTGGATTCTCCATCTCAAATCATTGCCTCATTGTCTAAGAGAAGATTACCAATATAAGATCTCATGTGAAGGATGGATTGATAGCATTTAAAGTGGATATGGAACTGACATATGATAGTTTGAGCTACATTACTCTTTTGGAGGTCATAAATATTGTGGATTTTTTAACATAGTATATAAATTATATCTTAGAATGTGTTAGTCATCCTTTGTTCACTATTTTGATTAGTTTGGGTGGGTAGGTGGGTGTGGCAGGGTAGGGGGGGGAATTGAGTGGATTTTTGCAGCTTGGGGTTTTTGTCAAGGGTTCATATTTCACCTTATTTTTTATTAGTTGCTCTAAGCTTCTCTCTAGATCATTTTTCCAAAGTGGTCAATTGCTTGGGGTTAGCATCCAAAGAAAAAAAATCTCACACCTCAATGTAGGCAAATGATATTATTATCTTTGCTACAATAAATTGTGCTAATGCCACTAATATAAGCCATTTTTTTAGAATTATTACTCTTTGAATGGGCAAAGAATTAATCAGGGTAAATTTTTCATTCTCCAAAGTAAGTGATGCCTTAGTTGGAAAGCCAGAAGTATGGCCAAGCTGTTGAACTTTAAAAGAGTAAAAGAGTTTGATTTTTTGGGCTTGCGATAGGCTACAAGGAAGAATGTGGTTGAAGGATTTGCTAGAATTTTGTAGCAGGTTAGAGATTTATTGAGCACTTCGGATCATCATTATTTTTTACTTGTTGGATATTCTATTTTACTCAGTTCATCAATCCTTTCTTCTCTAATGCCTTTGATGACTCACACTATTTTACCAAAGGGTGTTTTAAATATCTTTGAAAAACTGTATCACCACTTTTGATGGAAGAAGGACAATTACAAAATAGGTATGCATTATGTTACGTGGAATGGAAAGATATTGTTGACCTGTGTATGTGGGTGGATTGGGCTTTCATTCATCAATTAAGTGGCAAGGGCTTGTTCATGTATGGTATGGGATTTCATCAATAGTTTTGGGTCTCCGTTAAATATGGATTTGACATTTGGAATGTTAATTTTAAGAGGGAAACCTCTAATTATTTGGTTGTGATGATGAATGGCTGGGACTTTATATCAACCTCTTAGAAGAAACTATCATAGCATTAATCTCCTCTAGGATGCATGCATCCTTGATAAACCTTTGGCTTTTTAGAAGACTTTCTTGAATTTATGAACAATTGGAGAACCGTAAGATTGTAGATTTTATTTCCAATGAAGTAATTTGGAACAACAAGTTCCTTCAAGAGTGCGTTGTAAGTTGGATTAAGAAACACTACTTATATTTGAGGGAGAATTTCATTTGGTGGATGATATTCAAATAATATATTCCTTCTAATGTTGGACCCTATTACAAATGGGTGTTGTAAGTTGCTCGAGGTGTTTAATGTCCTAATTCATTGTGATTTCATGGTTATTATATTTCAGCCTTTTGCCCAACTCTTGTAGTTCTCAAGCAAGTAAATACAACCAACATAATTCTGGGACATGTCTACTGTGCTATTGTTTATCAGGTGTTACAGGCTAAAAAAGCTCATAACCATGGTCGATCTACTAGCGACCCTTCCATGCTAGCTGCTATGGGTTTATCTAGGCTTTCGAGACCACATCTGCATCCAATTCTGGAGAACAGGAGCACCAAACGTCCTGCTAGGTTTCCTATTGATAAGATTTAGTGCCCTCCCCCCCTCCCCCCGCAAGTTTGATCAAATTCAATATTATTAACATGCTCATTACAAATTTCGAAGATGGGATTGGTGTTGACATATGAAATTATGTAGGTTCGTTTGTTATGGTTGTTGGGAGGCAAATGGAACATTGGGATATTTCCAAAGTGGAGATGCTTGCAGTTTTGTATATTGGACATATATTAGTCGATGTTTTTTATGAAATGCATCATTATAGAAGTGGACAATCACAATGTAATCAATGGGTTATAAAATATAATGGGAGACCAAAGGAATAAAAAGTTGAACAATTCTTTTGAGGATCTCACTTTCCTAAGTTAGTTTAAGCAGGTTTCATTCTAATACATTCCAAGGAAGAGTAACAAGACTACATATATTTGTGCTATTTAGCCATTCTTTATTCTTTTGTTGGCATGATATATATAGTATAAATATATCCTCCGATTTCTTGAATGTACTTAGGGAGAAATGTGATAGAGTTTATCACAATTAGTTGTATGTTGTTGTAATTTTATTTTATTGCTAATGCAAATGAAATCATTTAGATCTAGCTAGATTTCCATCGCTTTCTCTTGCCCACTCTCCCCCACCCCCTCCTCCTCTCCCTCTTCTTTGACACTCTATCACCTCTTTTTCTCTGTCTTTCCCTTAATCCCTTGCTCCATCTCTCTCTCTCTCTCTCTCTCTCTCTCTCTCTCTCTCTCTCTCTCTCTCTCTCTCTCTTCTCACTTCTTCTCTCTTTCTCTCACTATTTTCACTCTATCTCTTCCTCTAACTTTTACTCACTTTCTTTCTCCCCATCACTCTCTCTTACTCTCTCTCCCTTCCTCCCCTCCCTTTCTTTCTTTATGGTTCTCTCTCCCTCTCTATCAAAGTACCTCACTCACTCTTTCTCTCTTTTTTTCACCCTTTCTCTATGGTCTCTAGAACATCTGAATGTTGACTAGCAATTCTCCTATTCCAAGCCTTTTCACAATAGCAGCCGAAGCATAGTGAGAAGCCCATGTGTCTTCAAATTTGATATAGCTATTAGATTTAGGATGATCTTTCCATAATTTCATCAAAATGGGGCAATGATCCGAAGCAATACAAGGAAGATGATGAACCACTAATAACGGATTGGAATCAAGGGCAAAAGAATTGACAAAAACCCTGTCAAGTCTTTCTAAGATATCAATTTCAAAATGGCCCTGGAGGATGTTTTTTTATCTAAAATACAGATTTGGAATTCTCCAGACTACTTCTACCACATTCTAAACAGACTGGGACAATATGAAAAACTCAAACCTGAATTGATTGATGTGGACTATCTTAGACATAGATCTACTGATTCTATCTATATTTATGAACTAATTGTGAACCAAGCTTCCCATTCAATAAAGTTTTTGACAGTATGATCCCATCACCATCTAAGTACACTTAACTCACCACAGCCACAATTAAAATGCTTATTCTCCTATAATAATAATTTTTTATCTTTTCATCATATATTTTCAGTTCCTCTAAATGATTAACTAACACATCTTGTTCCTAGATTTTCCTAAATCTAAGTACTTTGATGCTAAAGAACATGAAGTTCTGCAATTTGGAAGTGCATATTGTTTTATGTAATATTTTAACTTCTGTAAGTTTTCAACCAAATATTTCAGACAGAAAGAAAACTCTCACCTTCTATTTGCTTTGACAAAAGATATTTACACTTCTTTCGTGCATAGCACAGACAGCATTTAATTAGATCTAATCCTTGTTCCAACTAAAGACACCAACTTTGTTGTTTAGTGCATTCTAACTGCCACTGTGGAATGTGACTTTCACTGTTCGTAAAGAACTAAGGAACATCTTCCTAAAGATAAAAGAAAAGGAAAGAATTAACTATATAATGAAAGAGATAGATAATAACTAAACACAATTGCATGAAAGAAAATTGAATTATTTTGATTGAAAAGACCCAAAAATCTCAAGAAACAGAGATGCTACCCCTTGCTTCAGTACAATTCATGACCTTACAGAATGAGCATATATCAGCCCCAGTAATTGTGGATTATGATTTTAAGAAGCTAAATCATTAGCTAACTATATGTGCCTTATGAAAATCAGATATCTAGCATGTAATGCTTTAATCATTGCGCTTGCTTTTAAGTTTTCTAAGACTTATATCATGAGGTGATGGTGGATCCAGATGCTCCAAGCCCAAACAATACGGAAAATAGAGAATACCTACTGATAAATTAAAATCTGAAGATAGGGCAATTTGTTTTACTGATTTGTGGCTTATGAAAATCCAGATGCTCCCTACCCGCCATTGCTTTCGTAAACAAAACCTCATCTTGGAGATCCCTCTATCTCTACACTTCAATCCCATGTTTTCTCTACAGCATCATCATCCATTTGTCAATGAAAGAGTCCCCTCGCTGGCTTCTAGTAAAAGGAAAAATGGAAGAAACCATCGAAACACTTAAAAATCTCACCTTTCGCGAGAAACAGAGTTTCTCCGTTTTGACAGAAATCAAAATCATAGGGGCGGCAGAAAACAAGAACGAAGGAGCCGAAGAAGCCTCTCGTGCAATGAAGCCGAACAGCACGACGACGATAGGTGGATGAGGGCGTTGCTGACAAAGAGGTTGGAGCGGAGAAAGCCGGACTTGAGGGCGACGGAGTGGAGCTACTCACCGGAGCGAAGTCGACAAGAATGAAGGAGCCTAAGAAGCCTCTCGTGCAATGAAGCTGAACAACATGATGAAGATGAAGGTTTTCTTCCGATGAATTTATAACTTGCTCAATATGAGCGGGTTTCTAATTCACGCGAAACAGACTCCCTAATAAATGCCTAATACTTCTAATACTTCTGATGATTTCCTTTTGTTCTGCTAAAAATTAACCAAACAACCAAATTTAGTAAATACATGTAATTGTTTTACTTCACACTCCTAATTCAAGCAACCAAACAGCCCCTAAATATTTAACCGCCCCACTTACCCACGTCATCTCATCGTTTACCAAGATTGTGAAGAAATGGACTGTATAAAACAAAAAGAGAAACGAGAAAAGAGGTTTTGAGGCTCACTTATGTTCAGTAGTCCAATTGGTTTCTGAAAAACTGAGTACAAGGTCTTCTTCTTTCCTGCTTTGAAGACCAATTGGAATCTCAAGTTCCGTCACCTCTGCCTGCGGTCTCAATTTGACCGACCGCCGCTCACTTGGCCTCGTGAAGCCCACCTGCACCAAGTCCGATTTCATCTGAGTGGCAAAAGAATGGCCCGCTGCCATTGTCCGACTTCCCACAGCCTAGCACTCAAAACAAAAACCAGTTCTTGGTTTGTCTGCCCTATTTGACCGAAATCATTTTTTAAATCTCTCAAGCCTGAACGACTATTCTCTCCACTCCACACGAACAGTTATGTCCGATTCTTGTGTTAGAGCCGTACCCTCTCTCTATCTCTATTGCTATTCTTTTTTTTAGAGAATGCATAAAATAATTTTATTCAAATAATTAGAGTACACTTTGATTCCTCCAACAAATTTAGAAGAGGAATGTTATTACAACTAGCATCTTGCCCAAAAAAATTAGAAAGAAGAGCTAAGTTAGCGCATAAATCAACTAACTTATTACATTCCTTTTAAAAAAAAGAAAGAGAACCTGTTTAAAACCTTTAAGAAAATCTAAATCTTTAGATTTTAAAAATTCTTCTGAAATCATATGCTTTTGAAAAAACTTTTGAAAGAGCAATATAACATTATGATTATCTCCTTCAATCACAATACCCTTGGCATCAAACATCCAATCTTGAACATAATTCCTCAAAGAAAGAATGGATAGTATCTCAACTTGAGCACTATCCTAATGGAGACGGCTGAATCCAAATGCACCGAAGAATCGACCTTAATACTCCACCAATGCCATCTTTATTGTTTGCATTTATAGAAGCATCAACATTAATCTTAATCCAAAAAGGAGGTGGAGGAAGCTAAGAGGATTGACAAAGCATATAATGCTAATTAACTTCCCAGTTCTCCCAAGTCGGATTATCATGAAAAGAACCAACTGCATAACTTATGGAATTTGTTGCAATGAACGAACAACTGTCTTCATGATCTCCATGAAAAATTTTGTTCCAGCTTTTTCAACAACAAAATACCAAAAACGCAATATAGATTACCAATGAAGGGATTCAATACCGCAAGACGACGCAGTAAAATCATGCATTCATCCAGAGAATTAGAAGCTAGCAGCAGGAGATTCCAAGATATTTTTAATCATACGGCAGTGCACTGCAACATGTTTGGCATTTTCAACACCTTCACATCCTCTCGGGCAGTCATCATATTCAGTTATTCTCCTATGTTGAAGATAACAATTTGATGGAATAACATTTTTGGCATAAACATCACCAAAATAGTTCAACTTGTGGCCTTAACTTTAATTTTTTTATCCAGCTCCAGTAATTGTCTTCGATATCATCTTCAAACTTTTTTTCAAAAGCTAAAGCCGTAACATATTTTCTTGAGAATTTAACAATCATTTCTAGTAGATCTCTATCAGCTTCAAAATTAATGGGAACCAAACAAATCAATTTTACAAGTTGCAGTCTGAAATATTGCTTCAATTTTTCCACATTCCATTCCCCATTTGAAATAAAAGCCAAAAGAGTAGAAGAATCCTGGTCTAAAAAAGAAGTAAAAGTTGGTCATCTATCAATACTTTTATCCAAAATCCATATATCATTGGTGGTATTCACCTCTTCACCATTACAAATTCTCCATCTCATTAAAGGGTGTTAAAATTTTGCTCCATTCATAATAATTTTCCACATTGAAGAGTAATTACATCTACTCCCACCACTCCATTGATCATATCCATACTTAGATATCAATGTCCTGGTAAGAAGAGATGAGGGATTTCTAATGAAATTTAGAGCAAATTTAGCTCTCAACGTACTTATCCTTCCCAAAACTTACTGCACCCCTCTACCACCCTTGTTTTTTGATTTACACAATATATCCCAAGTAACATAGTGAATACCAAAACCTCCGTCCTTCTTATTCTATAAAAATTTTTTACACATTTTATCTAACTCATTCAAAACTCCCAATGGAACTAAGGAATGAGTAGATAAAAAATAGCCAAAGAAAGAAATGAAGTATTAAGCAGAACTAGCTTTCCATCAAGTGAAATAAATTTATTACCCCACATATTAAGTCTCCCAGCAGCCTTCTCTGTCAAATTATTAAAATCTGAACTTACAAGTCTTGGCAAAGCAATTCTTGTTCCCAAAAAATCTAGCTAATTAACCACCTTTAGCCTCAGAACCTTGGATAAAGCTCTAACAGTTATTCTTCTAACTGAATTTCCAAATAGCATAGAAGATTTGCTCAGATTTATCTTTTGCCCAGTCCAATTACAGTAGTTCCTCAAAATGACATTAATTTTTTAAGCTTTTACCATTAGCCTTAGAAAAAATTGTTATATCATCTGTATACATTAGGTGAGAGATCAATGGAGCATTCAGAGATATCTTCATACCAATTCTATCACCTCTTCTAGAAAACTCATCAAAAAGCTATTGAGAACACATGATAAAGAGGTAAGGAGATAACTGACATCCTTACTTAAAGCCATATTTCGACACAATCTAATTTGAATTGATACCATTGATCAAAATGGAAAATTTTGGATCCTTCATGCATTCCATCACAAGCTTGGAAAATTTAATAGGAAAGCCAAACCATTCTAAGACTTGATTAAGTGTGGGCCAACACATGCTATCATATGCCTGCTCCATATCAACATTGATAGCAACCAATCCCTTTCTAGATTTAATAAATCTAAATTTATGAAATTACTCTTGAGCAAGAAGTATTTGGTCGGACATATGACGTCCTTTTTCAAAAGCATATTGAACTTCCAAAATAATCTATAGAAATAAGTAACTCATTCTATTTAATAACATACTTCCACAATTTTATAGATTGAATTGCAAAGACTAATGGGTCGGAAATTGGAAGGTAATGAAGGATTCTTTAACTTAGGAATCAGAACCACATTTTTCTCTTTCCAAGTAGGGCACAAAGAACCAGATTTAAAAAAAGAATTAATAGCAATCCACACTTCATCTTGAATTATTGGCCAATAAGCTTTGATAAAGGAGTATGTGATTCCATCTCTACCTGGAGATTTGTTAGAGCCCAGTTGTTTGATAACACCCTCCAGCTCTCCCTAGAAAATTCTCTATCCAAAATTCTGAAATCAGCAACATCAATCTTCTTGGAAGGAGAAGGCCAACCTTCCAAAATACAATCCCATTCCCTCCATTTGTTTTTGAAAAGTCCACAAAGACTTATTCAATATCTTCATTTTTTTCCAAAAGAAAACCACAATTATTTTTTAGTTGATTGATCCAATTACCATTTCTTCTTACCTTTGCAAACGTATGAAAAAATTTTGAATTAGAGTTACCATCTTCTAACCATTGCAGTTTCGATCTATATTTCCACCAAGAGCAGAGATGTCCTAGAGTAGAGTTAAGATCCCAAACCTTGGATCTCAACAAAAACACTCTCTGTTCGGAAAGGCCACCATCACCTGATTCTTCTTCTTGGAGCTCCTTAATTTCTTTTTTTTTTTAATTCTTTAATCTCAATTAAATTCTTATGCTTAGCTCTATTCCAAAAAAATAGAGCCTTTAAAGACCACTTAAAATTTTTATTCAAAATTTCAGCTCCATTACCTCAAGTCGGTTTCTTCAAGGAAAACCATACAACTGATTACAAAGAAGGATAAGATAGCTAAACATCTTCAAACCTTAGATTTCTTCTCTTTTTAATGCAATTCTTGCTAAGTGCCTCACAACCCCCACCTCTAAATAATTTAAGGCAGCACAATTGAGAATACAATGATCCAACCTCTCTAAGATTCATGCATTACCTGTTTTATTATTACATCATGTGTATTTAGGACCAATAAATCCTATCTCATTGAAATCACAATTTCTCATAAATGAATACATATCTTGAGCTCCCTGAGAAAAAAAAAACTTTTTACCACATCTTTTATCATATTGGGATAAGATACAGTTAAAGTCTCCACCTATAACCATAAGAAGTTTTAAAGTAGAGAAAGGTTCCAATTTATTCCATAAGAATCTTCTATTACAACAATATGTACTTCCATAAACTATTGCTATCAACCAAATACATTTAATCACAATGTTAAGTTCTCCCACAACTGATTGGTTACATGCATCAACCATCGAAAAAGAAGCCAAGTCTGACCTTCAACAGACCATGATACCACCAGATAAACCCGTTGCCAAAAATAAGAAAAAATCCCACATATCTCCTATAAATCTTTTAAGTTCCAAAGGGTCTATAGATGAAATTTTGGTCTCAACAAGACCCACAGAGATTGCATCATTATCCTTCATAATCTCCTTCAAGTAACGGGAGGCTTCAACTTTCCTAACCCCCCTACAATTCTAAAATATTAAGGAACTCATTTAAGATTAGAAGAGGGAACACGCCCACAACCTCTCCTTTTAGTCTTTTTTTTTTTTTTTTGATAGAAATGCCAAATGCATTAAAAGCAAAGAAGAAAACAACCTAGATACACCTACTAGGTGACAGCACCCCTATCACCATCCTCCACCAAAATCGACAAAAAACAATGAGGCACCTTATTACAAGTGAGATTATCCCAAACAAAATCCCCAACCAAAGATAATTTAGCACAACAATGTGCCAACTTATTAGCACTCCTATTACAGAAATAAAAAATGACAAAACCAAAATCTTTAAGAAAAGATAAGTCTTCAAAATTAGTTTCACTATACCTCCCATCCAAGTGTTCCACAGTTTTCTAAAGATGTTGGATGACATTGAAATTGTCGCCTTCTATGAAGATACCTTTAGCTTCCAGCATTCTATCTGTAATGACTACCTTCAAGTGCTGAAAAGCAACTAGTTCCAATGCTCCTATATCCCAATGAGAGCATTTAACCCCAAAAGCTGAGAGAAACCTCCCATTATGGTCCCTAAATACACCACCAAAGCCTACCAAATAAGATTGTGACAATGCTCCATCAAAATTAAATTTAATCCACTTGGCTGGAGGGGGGTTCCAATGAGAACGGATCAGCCTTGGCCGGTTAGAACCCTAGTTTCCCGAAATATTGCCAAAGTTCAATGCATTTGAAGCCATACTGATAGCCTACGAAGCAACGAAACTTGCACTGAATTCATCATCTCCATGTTTAAACCGATTTTTGCTTTTCCAAGAGACAAAAACCATAGAGCAGAATAAATTCCCAATGAACCGACTTGTACCACATAAAATTTTTAGTTCAACAATGCAC